GTGCCTACGAAGGTGGTGGAACAGCGAGCTACTAACTTCTTGATTCTTAGTAGCTGAATGAGTACACTTGACACTTTTTGGGGTAAGGTCACCCGATAGAATTGAAATCTGCACTTTTGTGGGCTTATGAACTCGGCAACTAAGGATTCACGTGCTTATAGGCTCAGCACTCTTCCTGGCACCAGTGCTGAAGTTCTTGCTGCGGGCCGTGCTGCAGGGCGTGTTCTTCTACATGGGAATTGCGAGCCTGACCGGCAACAACCTCTTCGATCGGCTGAAGTTGTGGCTTATCTGGGACCCGGCCAAGTACCCGCAGTACCACTACGTCCAGAAGCTGCCCATCAGTCGAGTGCACCTGTACACCGTCGTCCAGGTCGTCTGTCTTGGCATTCTGTATGGGTTGAAAGCTATTAAGGAAACATCCGTGGTGTTCTCGTTCTTCATGGCGTCGCTAGCCATCATCCGCAAGGCCATGAGGTTCATGTTCACCGAGGACGAACTGAAGCAGCTGGACGGACTCCCCGGTGAGGACGAGGAGGAGGATGCCGCCATGTCGAAGCCGGACATCGTGAATCTGGATGCGAAAGAGGCCGCCTAGGAGAGCAAGGATGTGCAGGGTGTTGTAGATTCAATTAGCGTAGACAATGACAAGGAGGCTACTCAGCCGGACCTTCTGCACAATTCAACAAGTTTTGGTTCTTCGGAACTCGTCAGCGAAGCCCTTCTTTGAAGGCCTTTCCTGGCAAACCTGATCCAGCACGGTTGGCACGACCCCGTGAGTTGGGATGTGGAGCTTGATAAGAATTGGAGAAGTAGCTCTTGGGTCTTCAGCCTCTGTGCTTGAGGTTTTGTGTCTAATCTTTTGGCCCATTTGTGGCCAAGCAACGCCAATTAAGTGTCGAGGGAGTTCGATCGCCGAAGGCGAGCCGCTCTCGGGCACAAACTCTTTGTACAAGTGCTGCGTTGCTAAACCAGCTCACTCCAAATTACCAGGTGAAGACAGAAAGTTGGACGATTGGATTTCCGCAGCCGCTGCCATGCAACTCTTTCGCTGTTGAATTGTGGGTCGCAGGCGAAAGCAGGATATCGCCACGGTACCCCCTGGAATGTTCACTTTATAGCTTCGAGCTTGTGAGGGGAGGCTAGTACAATTTTCTAAGGCTCGGACGGCTGCTTCTGCCCTGGTAGCATGCTTGCCTTAGACTTTCGAGTCTTAGCTCCTGTTATCTGCTTTTCACAGCCTTCGGATCCCATGGTATCTTCCTCAGCTCTGGAGTCTCCCGGGCCTCTGCCCCTAAATTGCAGGCATCTCCCCTAGTCCCTGAAGCCCCCAAGCCCTAAAGCCGAAGCCCCGAGCCTCTGCAGGAGCAGAGACAGATCCACAAGCTGCGCAACAGTCCGCAGGACTACGTCCGGTTCCCTGGTACTTTGGGTTTAGGGTTTAGGGTTACAGGGTTTAGCGTCGGGGTATGATCTGTGAGATACGTTTGTTGCAAGGTTTCGGTTTCTTGACAGTCTTCTTGCCACCGTTTGAATTTGAATCCGCATGGAGTTCAGCTGAACCCTGCAACCAATGCCCCTTTGCCTTTTGATTTTGGAGACCCTCAACCCTAACACTAATCTCCCCAACCCCGAAGCCTCTCACGAGTTTCTAGCGGCTTGGGCTATGGGATAAGTTCAGCTGCTGATCTCAATGTATGGGGCATGAAGAGCCGCTACCATTATTCCGTCGGCTTCCTTCTCATAGTTATACTTTACTATAGAATACCCCACAACCCTACTCTAGTTTGTTGCTGGCCTGGCCATCTGAGTTTGTGGCCACCAGACCCTCAGAACAGGGGCTTTGGGACGTCTGGTACTGTAACTATAGGCAAGAGCTCTATGGAAGAATATTTTGGTTCAGGCTAGAGTCAGGAGTCCCAAAGTGTCGGCGTCGAGGGAAGCTCCTATGCTGCCTATGCTTGTATTTGCTTCAGTGCACATCATCGCATGTCCTTTCGTGACGACATGCATTTGCCTTGTTGCACACTGCGATAACCACATGGGGGTTTCCGAAAATAG